GGATCACCACTCCGCATCGTGCAAACTGCACTTATTCACTTCAAGCAGGAGTTTCGCCGGCATTGACATGGTAGTTTAAGGACTAAAAGTATACCATATAAATGTTTGAATCAATGTTCATAAAATGAAAAAACATTTTAATACATTTTACAAAATTTACTTTGGTTTGCATTATTGCAGTTCATGGTTCCTAAGTTCTACAAGGAATTCATCGACGATCTAACAACATTGATGAAAAATGAAGTCATTCCTATGAGTCGAATTGATGATGCTGTGAGAAGAATTTTGCGCGTTAAGTTCATGATGGGAATTTTCGAGAACCCTTTTGCTGATTATAGTTTGGTTAATTGTCTTGGGACTAAGGTTTGCTATTTTCCTTTAGCTTCATTAAGGTAACAACTTAATATAACTTATAATCATCTCTTCTATGCTTATTCAAATTCTGAACAGGAGCATAGAGAACTTGCTAGAGAAGCTGTAAGGAAATCCACGGTTCTTCTTTAAAATGGAAAATCTGATGAAAAAGAAATGGTACATGAAACTGATGTTACTGATGAACATAAGAGTGCATATGATCAGTTTTCTGCAGTACCTCCAATAAAACGGGCGAAGATTCAATGATAGCATCTAGAGAATTATGCTTGAATTTTCACATCTGCTTATCATAATGATATACTCAACTTTAACAGTAGCTAACAATGCTTAGTAATGCTTATTTTGTTTCATTTTTTACCTTGTGTTTCATTGTTTACCTTTTGTTTCATTGTTTCTGCACCTGCATTATTTTGTTTAAAGAAGGAGCATGTGGTTTCATTGTTTAATAATGCTTAGTAACAATGAATTATTCGTAATTGTGTTATCTTTTCCTATAAATGAATTATCGTTGTTTTACATGTACGTTTTGATAATGAGATGCTATGATTTTTCACCTGCTATGATATTGTTGTTTTACTTCTACAAACAGTTGACATAAGAGGATTCTGCCTTTGGTGTCATTACCGAGTACCTATGGTTGAGTACCTAGCTGTTGATTTCATTCCAAAACATGTATTTTATTGCAATAAAAAAGTTATCAAATAATTGTCTTTTCTCTGTTATTTCAGTTTTGGTTACTTAGGAATTAGATTGTAACTAGATAGTAGTTTCAGTTTTTACACAATCACCTGAACTCTAATAGAATGGTTAGAATGTTAATAGATTTCCAGGAATGATGATGCACTGATTAAGAAATGTTATCAGTTAATTAAATGTTGTAACATTCAATAAATATTGTCTAGCATATTATAATGTTCTTAAGCTCGTAACTTTTTAGGTGAAACTTGCATCGTTCTACAAGTTATAATCTTATACTGTCAAAGACAAACAAATTCAATTGCAGATGGTATTTTGCTCACCATATCATATTTATACGTTCAATTTGACCTGAAGATATTGTATACTTAATTGTACAAAATACAAATTTATTTTCATCATGACTATTTGCTTTTGTTAATGTTGAAAATAGAGCTATGACTTATTCAGACTTTAATATGAGTAAATTATGGCACACACTAGCTGCTTTAGAGACAGATTTGATGGTTATGCTAAAAAGCAAGTGTACTTTCAAATATTACATTTTATATCTTTGGAGGAAAGTCATCACGACTCACTTGATGTTTCAAAACTTCTTGGCTATAGTTGTTCTTGTCCTAGCTCCACTCATAGAGTTCAGATATTTAATTTGGATGTGCTTTTTATTTTATTTGTTATACATGTGATTAAATGAAAGGTTGTTGTGGCAATTGTCCAACACCATCTATGTATGATAGAGTGTATCATTATAAAGATTCTTTACTAAGTGTTTATAGTTAAATACATACAAAATATGTAGGTTTGAAATATGGTTTGTTTTCAGCAGTAATTGGTATAATATATATTATGGAATATATTAGGTTGTTATTTTGCAGAGTCCACATAAACCATAGTCTTAATACTAAATTTAACTTTAATTGACACTAAATAAAAAGTAAATTAAATGGTAGCGTTTGAGACATTTTCTATTCGCATGTTGTATATTTTAATATATTCTTAAATTGTCAATGACAAAGTTGTATGAAATTCCTATTGTTGGTGAGTGTATATGTAAAATTATATTGAATTCCTATGATGTAACGCAAAATACCTGTAGTTTTTCTATGTTTGTAGTTGATGCAAGATATATATATATATTAATCTGACCTGATCAGGTGGACGGTCTCTGTCTGGCCTCGTCCTGTTGGGCTGGTGTCTGTCCACCGGTGCTGCGAAAGAGGTGGGGGGTGTACCTACAAGGGACTCCGATGCCATCAGATATTTGGTCAGAGTGAGGGCAAGTACAGAGGGTAAGAAGTGAATACCTGACCCTCTTGTTGAAGAAGGTATTTATAGACCCCAGCGCTGGGCCAACGGTCGTCTGGGTTGGACGGATAGGCCCAACCCAAAGGACTGCTAGGACAGACGTGGCGTCAATAAGACCAGGGCGTGGTCTTTGCCCTAGTCCAACCGCTCCATGACCTCCGATAAGTACGCCTGGTCTTTTGGGGAGTGGACGGTTGGGGGTGACGTGTCCCCGCAAAAGGGGGGAAGCACGTGGAGAATGTGTCGTGCTCGCGATCTCCGGAACGGGGAGATCCTGTCCGTGAAGTATCTTGTACGAGGGGGAGACGTGCCCGGTTTGCTACCGGCGTCGGGCACATGGCTAATGGCTCCGTAAGCACCGAGCTCGGCACGAGGACTAGAGGATGTGGTTCCTGGGCGTAAGGTTGTGCCCGTCTGGCCAATTACGGCACGTGTGCTCCGCGTGGCTGTCCAGGACCCCGCAAGTGAATGGGCCTCACCGGTTGACCGGGGCCCAGTCCAGAACATATATATTGCAAAAACATGTTTTTTGAAAGGCAAAATACAAAATTTAATTTAATTAACAATTATTATCTTTATTTATACAATTGGGCTTTTAATTCTGAGTGACTTTCCCGGAAATTTTAACCAGTTGAAATTTAGTGCGTCAATTTTTCATAAATCAATAGTTAGATGGAATATTTTCAAATCGCTAGTAGACGGTTAGGAATTTGACCGTTAGTAATTCGGTTAGGATTCAGTTGGATTCAGTTGGGATACAGTTAGAATTCAATTGAACCATGACTATATATCAACTCTCACTACCTCACATCTCTCACTACCTATCACTCTCTTACTACCTATCACTCTCTCACTACATATCACTCTCTCACTACCTATCCTTCCCAAGATGGATAGAATTTTCGAAATTGATAGGCTCATTTCGAGATACCACAGAAGTCTTAGTTACCTCAATATTTTATTGGGCAAAAATTCTGACAGGCTGGAAGAAATTTCGTCTCTGCAAAGAATCAGAAGGAATGTGCTTAATGAAGAAGAAAGGAACGATCCTTTATATTCAGTTTTCTTTACCGAGTTGGATTCTGAGCAAAGGCAGCTCCAAGATGAACGACAGAAGATTGAGATAAAGAAGATTTCAAGTACAAACATGCTTAGGGCACTTTATCAAGTTAAGAAACGATTGTTATCCATGATGATGTCCAGGGGTCGTCGCTTTCTCTAAATATGATTTTTGCTGGAATTTTCTATGATGAAATGTAAATTGGATTAGTTGAATGCAATAAAATTCGTACATTTCACTATATTTATTTTATTTTTACTCTTTTTGTATTTATTTAATATTTATAATTTAATCGGATTACGTTTAATTAAAGGAAACGATTGATATCCATGATGATGTCCAGGGGTCGTCGCTTTCTCTAAATATAATTTTCATGGAATTTGATGATATGTAAATTCGAGTAGTTGAATGCAATAAAATTCGAGTAGTTGAATTTTAAAATGAAGACTCAATTTCTCAAAAATGACACCACTACTGAATTCTTCAGTGAAAGATATTCAAGATTGAGTAAGGATTCACTAAATTCCATGGAGGTTTGGGTTGGTTTCGATCATTCAATTAATGGATATTTTGGTTATGCCTTGGAGTTGCCCAGAAAATCAACTGATTAAGCTATGTATATTTTTCTTTGATTAAGCTATGTATATTTTTCTTTCCATCCAATTAATGGATGTAACAGCCACCCCAGTGGCAGACCATTGCGCGCGTTATAACTTTCTACCAGCATGACAAGGGTTCGATCCGGGTGGAGTATGACCCTTTTGTTTTTTTATTTGTCCAATCCCCACCTATGCGGAACCCTAATTTCACCAAAAGGGGCAACATCGACTTGACTGAGATGATGAGTAATACAGGATTATATGAAAAGGATAGTGGCGGAGACTACTTCACATGGTCGAATAAACGGGGGAAAATGCTATATACTCCAGGATTGACCATGTCCTCTGTAATGTTGATTGGATGCAGCAGTACGGAAATACGACGTTAACGAATTGTCCAATCCCCACCTATGCGGAACCCTAATTTCACCAAAAGGGGCAACATATTGAAAGGATTTTTTATTTGTCCAATCCCCACCTATGCGGAACCCTAATTTCACCAAAAGGGGCAACATATTGAAAGGATTAAGGCACAGCAAAATGGGCCTTGGATCCTAATAGGTGATTATAACAATGTGATGAAAACTGAAGACAGAATAGGCGGTAATGAAGTTACTGAGCAAGAATACATCGACTTGACTGAGATGATGAGTAATACAGGATTATATGAAAAGGATAGTGGCGGAGACTACTTCACATGGTCGAATAAACGGGGGAAAATGCTATATACTCCAGGATTGACCATGTCCTCTGTAATGTTGATTGGATGCAGCAGTACGGAAATACGACGTTAACGAATATGAACCCCAGTATATCAGACCATGCCATGCTTGTGCTACATGACGGTATTGAAGTCCTGCGACCTAAAAAACAATTCAGATTTATTAACAGCTGCGCTGAATTGGAAAACTTTCAGGAAATAGTCAAGAACAGTTGGGATATGCCGCTAGCTAGCAGGTAAACCAATGTTTGTTGTTTGGAAGAAATTGCAACGATTACAACCCCACGTCATGAAATTGAGCAAACCGTTGGCTGAGATTCACAAGGAAATTGCACGAGCTCGGGAGGAGTTGAATAAGGCGCAGGATACTTTAATGACTGATAGATTGGATGCAGACAAGATTCATATGGTCAAGCAATGTTCTGATAACCTCATTAGGCTACAGGAGTTGGATGATAGTATGGTGCGGCAACGAGCAAAAATTGACTGGCTGAGGCTCAGGGACGGTAACAACAAGTATTTTCATGCATCTATAAAGGGGCGACAGCAGCTTAATAACATAACACAAATTCAAAGAATAGATGGTACCATGGTTACAGATCAGAAAGGTATGGAAAATGAAGTGATCTCATTCTACAGGAATCTAATGGGTACAAAATTGAACCACCTTGAAGGCATTGATACAGCAGCTTTGAGAAATGGTAGTCAATTGGACGCTGCACAGAGGTATATGCTGACGGGGCATGTAACCGAAGATGATATCACTACAGCTCTAAAAGGCATTGGTGATGATAAGGCACCTGGTATTGGTGGGTTTGGAGCGTATTTTTACAAGAAAGCCTGGAATATTATCAAATTGGATGTTATAGCAGCTGTGCAGGATTTCTTCAAGCATAACCGGTTGTACAGAGCGGCTAATTGTTCTGCTGTCACACTTGTCCCAAAGCACAAGAGCGCGAAAGAAATTAAAGATTACCGGCCTAATGACTGAAATCGCAAGTCCAGCAAAGAAGTCTGCGGTAAGCTTTCATTTTGATTTGGTTTTAATCAATAAGGAACCAGCGTTCCTTCCTAAATGGCCACTACCATCCGCCTTGTTGTTCTGCAGTGCCTGTATTGCCGGTGGAGTTGGTGCTGGTATGCTAGTAGAAGCATGGATCGACAGAAAGTTAAAGGTACTCTTATTTCCGCTTTCTTCTCATTTCTCTTCAATTTAGGTACCTGAAATTTAGGTTGTGAGCATTTTGGTGTTATGGACATGTTTTTTAGTACATATATATGATTTCTCTTCACTTTTCTCATTCAAACAAGTATTATATCTCACATATCACATCACTGTTTTAGCTTAACTCATAACAGAAAATATATAGTTAGTTAGTTACATAGTAAGTAAAGTAACTCTAGAATATAAGAATGTTTCAGTAACTCTAGAAAAATGAAGAGAAATGTAATTAATTTTGAGTTACTCTAGCAGTAAGTAATTGATTTTGAGTAACTGATTTTGAGTTACTCTAGAATATCAGTAAGTAATTGATTTTGAGTTACTCTCAGAAACTGTAATTACACTTATACCTAAATCTTTAGAGTTTTTATTGTTTTCTGCTATATTCATGGGACTAAACAATGTTAAACAGAAAAGATTGAGTGATCAGAAACAACAGTATATGTAAACAACAGTATCATGACAGCCGGGTTTCGAAGAGTGGTAGACATGTTGAATTCCTTTTTCCTTTCCTCTATCTGGACAGGTAGCAAATAGTTTATTGGTAAGTTGGAACATCATTAAGTTTGGTTGAATGGAATGGGGGAGTACATTAATTTGTGGTTGGACAATTGATGTGGTCAAAGGTTGGTTAATATTATGCAAATTCCTTCGAATATGCATAATAATTTGAAGGTTGAACTGAATAAAATCATTGAGGAAAACTCTATAATTATGCCTCAATGCTTTGTCCAGAACTGTCCTACTCTGCCTCAGCTTACTGCAGAGGAGTTCATCAATTCAATGAATGGTGATACGAAGGTTTGGAAGCCAACTAGTAATAGGTAGCTTTCGGTAAAAATTGCCTACAACCATCTTTCCTACTCTCAGCAAGCTACGGCATGGGGTATGACTATATGTAATTTATCAATCTCACCTTTAAAGTCAATTTTGTTTTTGAGATTACTTGAAAATTTGTCAACATATGACAACTTATGTTTGAGGGGAAAATTGTGGGGATCTGGTTTTATGCATCTAACTCTGATTTTCATTTCTGCTTCTTTGTTTAATTTGATTGATTATTTCAGGTTTTTATAGATCGGCGTCTGGTTTTATGAACTTGTTGTTGGGATCACTGAAAATTGTGGGCGAGTACTATCCAGGACGGCTATGCAAGGCGTTTGTGATTGACCCTCCGTCCCTTTTTGCATACTTGTGGAAGGTAAACGGTTAGTATCCACTTCATTCTTCATTCCAGTATACTCTTTTCTCCTTTCTTCATTCCACTGTTCATGTTTGCATCTTCATGCTCCATAGAACTTTAAAAGAATTCCAATTATCATGCATCACAGTGCTTGTCCAATTTTCACAATACTGAATATAATATATATTTCAGGTGCCAAATCCTCTATTTGACCTTGCTGGCATCATGTGTGGACAATTTGGCGTTCCGTTTTGGAATTTTTTCCTTGCAACTTTGATTGGAAAGGCAATTATTAAAACTCACATAATATATGATATATGTTGTTGTTCTATTGCAGTTCTCGAATTCTTTGTTGTTCTATATACTGCTGTTCCATTAATACATGCTTTAGGGTGGATGAAAGCTGGTATAAGCTGCTGTTTGAGACCTGTAACATTAGTGTTTGGTATAAGCTGCTGTTTAAGAACTACTGCTTAAGGATGTTAGCACTATAGCATTAGTGTTTGTGTAAAATATTGAGAGTTTTTATTGTCGTCATTCCACTTTAGGTTTATTTCTATCTCTTAACTCTTCTAAAATTTGTGTTAATGTTTTCATATTTCTCTCTGTTTTGATTTTGTTTTTTTCTCTGTTTTGATTTTCTTCTATTTAATATCCATTCTTCAAAAATTTTCAAAGAATTAAATTTAGGTTAATGACTAGTGTATATTGGTAGTTGCTGAAAATACACCAATCCATTAATATTATGTTATTTACAATTTACTAGTTCTTTTATGGTTTTCTGCATGAAACTTGATTCTATAATTAAATGATTTGAAACTACAACTTTGTCTTTGCAGGTGGAGCAATTACATAAAATTTTTAAACTTTGTGGTCCTCTCGGAGGACTATTGGAGAAAATCAAAATTGCCTCATGCAACGATATTTAAGCCTCAACAACCCTATAGGCGTTGTGTTGCTGAAACATTCAAGGACTTTCCTGCACCTGCAATAAACCTGATAGAGACACTCTTGTCCATAGACCCTGTTGATCGTGGAACTTCAGCATCTGCTTTGATGAGTGAGGTGTGAATTTTTATGTCCTTTATTGTTGTTTAATCTTTTCTTTCATTGAAGCGGTACATATAAATAGTGGATTCTGGTTTTATTTAAAACATCAATTTAACTTAATTTACAAATGTAGGTTTTGCGTTCATCTTAAAAAGCAATTCTAGATTGTTTTGGTTTCATATTGGTGCATATATATGTTTGTTACAGACAAAGTTTAACGATTATGCACTTATAAAACTTTTTAATCTGTCAATGCATAGTCATAAACCTCAAACAAATCCATGCCCCTGTACTGTATTGTCTCTTTATCACATGTATTCATGAAAATTACCATGTATATCAGCAAAGTTATGTGTTAATCTCTTAATTATTACCATGTTCATAGTCTCAAAAAAGGGAATGTTTGATCTACATTATCTTAAAGTTTATGAACTTGCATTTGTGATTAAAGTTTTGGACTAACCATATAGGCTAGTGGAGGCTGGTAAGTTTTCTCTGCTGTTTTGCTTTGATGTAATATGGAGGGGGCTGCTACTATAGATCAGTTAGGATTTAGGACAGTTTGGTTTCAATTGGTGGACATAGTGTTTTGATGCTGCCACAATCTTGTTGGGAGGGTCATCAACTTGGCTCCTTATCAGGACTGCAGGATTCATATAGGTTGATCTCATGATTTCTGGTTGTCCATTAGTTTAGCTTGATCATATGTGTCTAGCGAACTCATGGTAAAACCTAGTTCCAAATGTCAATGACTTGGTGAATAACATTTGGCTCTCTACTATTTTAGCTATCCAAGTTTTCACTGCTGTCAAAACCTATTTATCATTGCCAAAACCTGTTGGAATTCACTAACAGATGGAGAATTCCAGTTTTTTTTGCCATAGTTGCCTTAATGCTTAGCCTGCTATATCAAGAACATGTTGTTTCTGTTTTCAACCAATATCCCTTTAATCTTGTTTTCATATCAAAAGACTTTTTATAAGTTGCTGTTAGAATTATATTTGGAATTCACCATTGGATGTGGATGAAAAACACCAAGAACATACTGCTGTTTCTATGTTTGAGATGGGGCTGTCCAGCCTTCATATCTCACTACTTGCATCATGAAGCAATTTTTGTTTTACATTTGTCTCTTTGTATCTGTCATTGTAAGGGTTTGATTATTGGCCTTTCAAAGTGCAATATTGAGCAAACTCATAGCATGTTGATTAAGTTCTGGTCAGAGAAGTATCCTACATAGATTCATGATTCTGTCAAGCTATTTGTGAATTCACTTTTGTCAGCTCCTTGCCTTGAGGCTTGATAATTTCTGTTAACTTCAAGTTTTTCTTTTAAAATCATTCTAATTTGTGTGGAAAGTTCATAACCTGTTTCATTTTAGACAAGGGGCAACAGGAAGCAAAGGCCAGAGACATGATCCTGAGAGAAGAGGTGTAAGAAATCTCGGGCTGTACCTGCACCTGATGCCAATGCTGAACTAGTTGTGTCAATGCAGGTAAAATCATTTTAACTCCGATACTAACCCAACTTGGTCACGGTGATTTTTCATTGCTGTTTATGTATTTTGGATAAACACCATGATCAATTAGCCCTTTCATCTTTCAATTCCATATATGGCAGTTTCTTTTAATAAAGGAGGGCATTTAAGACCTATTTTGATATAAATTGTGTTTTGCAACTTCTTATTGAGGGAATTACATGCTGATTAATGCAATTTCATAATGTCTGTTAAAAATTGTTTGATTGGAATTGTAATTTTTTAGATGGATTTTGAACATGGTTGATACATAGCCTTACATAGCCTTGACTTGAAGCATTTTGTGTTGATATGGAGGTGGATCATACTGATTTGAGAATTTTGATGCTTGTGTGGTAAGCTACAGTTCTTTTCTTAATTGTCCTTTGTTTTCTCTCAGTCCAAAGTTCAAACTGAACTTAAGTATAAAGTTTGAATCTTACGAAGTATAAAGTTTTTGTATTTAATAATGTTGTGTTTTGATCTTGCAGCTTGAAAGAAGATACTGGAGTTTTTAGAGATTACAAGTCAAAGTTTTATCTTTTGTTACTTATAAGCGAGTTATGGTTTAAAGTTTTAGATCTATATTTTCTGTTATGTAACTCTTACTTTTTGATGGTACTAAGATTCTAGGGAAGGGGGTTTTTAAGAAAGTGTATCCTTATTATTTTGTTTATGAATTTTTATGTTCAATTGATAAAATGTTAATCTATCTTAGTAGATGAAGATAATTGTGTAGACATCGGAAGAAACATAAGCATGTTAATTTGACTGATTTTGTTTTTGAATGGTTTTTATAAGTTGTAATAATATGTTGTAATAATATTATAGATTTTAAAATAATATTGCTGTCATGTTACTTTATAAATTTATAAATTTGTAAGTTCAGTCCCTTTGTGTAAATAATTAGTATTTTTTGTTTAATTCAAATAGTTAATAGTTAATTGTCATTTTTAAAATTAAAATAAAATTTATATTAGGTTGTAATTGGGTGTGCATTTTTAGTGGCCCAATTATTAC